GCCCCGCAAAGCCACGGGGTTGGGGAGGGCGGGTTTGGTGCCAGCTGGGGGATGTCACCAAAGGGTCCCTTCCCTGGCACCCCAAAACGGGGCAGGGGATCCCAAAGGGGCGACAATTCGGGGTGAGGGACCCTCCAGCACCCGCGGCAGAGCGGAGAGGGGTTGGGGGGCAAAGCCTGGTGTGACCAAACCTCATTCCCCGAGGGGAAAAGGGCCGCTGGGACCCCCCAAAAGCGCCGGGCCCCCCTCACCTGCCGGACGAAGCTGTTGGAGGTGGTGTCGGACGAGGTGCTGCCGTCCGAGCGCTTGAAGCGACTCTTGCGCCTGCTGTACTTGCCCTGGGGACAGGGGAGGGGGCGACAGGGAAGAGCTGGACCCCCAGAAGTGCCCCYAAAAGTCGGGGGGCAGCTCCGCACCCCTCCAGCCCCCGCTGCCGGGGATGCTCCAGCCCCCTCCGCCCCCGCCCGSCAGCCGAACCCAGCTCGGGGGGTTCGGGAAGGGAACGGGACGGGGCTGCCCCTCCCCGAGGGTCGCGATATTGGGGGGATCGCGACCCCAACCCCACAGGGGGACACGGTGGGGATGGGCGGGTTGGGAGGAGCAGCCCCCAAAGTGCAGCCCCGTCCCCAGTCAAACCAGAACCCAACCAGGTGACATTTCGGGGGGTCCCCCACATCACCCCAGTGCCCGAGACCCCTCCCCAGCGTGGGCACCGTGTGCAGGGGGCACCCCAAACCTCCACCCACCCCAACGGGACCCCCGCCCCCTCCCACTGGAGGGGGGGAGGGTACCCCAGTGCCCCCCCTGCAGCAGATCCCTCCTTTTGGGGGAGGAAAAAAGGGGAAAATTCCGGGGGGAGCGGGGCTGTCACCCCCCCCAGTGCCCCCGAGGGACAGCTGGGCCCAGCTGCCACCCAGCCCGGGGGTGGGGGGTCCCCACGCTGGGTATTTTTAGGTCCAGGACTCCCCCCACAGTGACAAGGCTCTCCGTGCCCCCATCCCCTGGGACCCCCACCCCAAAAACTGTCACCCCAGCTGGCTGATGGTCCCCAAGAGCACGGAGAGGGGGGGTCTGTCCCAAATTCCTGGAAACAGGGGGGTCATTCCACCCCCCCAAACCCGAGGGGACAAACCGAGGGAAGGGGGGCGTGGGGAGCACCCCAAGAGTTTTCCCAATTCCTCAAACTTTCCCGGTGGGCGCAGCACGCCCCCCCAAAACCCACCCGCCCGCTTTGGGGGATTGGGAAACCGGCGGGGGYGGATTTGGGGTCTCTCCCACATTTATGGAGCGGACACCCCTTTTTTTGGATACTGGGAAGGRGGGGACCACCCCGTTATGGGGTGTCGGGGTTTAGGGGGAGGRGGTGACCCCCATCCGCCGCCCCCAACCCCACGGGAGAATCCCACGGGATGAGCCCCCTCCTCCACCCACCCGAGGGGGTACGGGCGGTGCTGCCACCCCCTCCCCGGCCGCCCCCAAATCCTCGGGGGTGTCACCTGGAGCGCGGCGTTGTCCAAGACGTCCATCTGGATGTCCTGCGTGGAGCTGTAGGGGGTCCGGGCCATGCCGCCTTCCCGCACCATGGAATCGGCGGGATTTTGGGATGGATGGGTGGGTGGATGGGGGGGAACCACACGGAGGAAGATGATGACGATGACGATGAAGCTCAGGCCTGGCCCCCGCGGTGACGGAGCGGGAGGAGGAGGAGGAGGAGGAGGAGGAGGAGGAGGA